TTTAACGCAAGAGTTGGAAGTTATTTTCCTTTTATTAACATCAGTGTTAAACTCCTGCCATTAGAACAAGGCTGTTAAACTTCCCAGTTGCTGAAGCGTGGAAAGCTGAGCGTGGTCACAGATGAGAGCTAACGAGGCTGGGGTAGGAGCTGCACACAAATCTGGAATGGTCTCCTCTTCCTAGGCAAAGAGTGTTAACAAAATATATGGCAGTACATTTGTAAGGAATATCATTATTAAGGTGGTGTTTATGAGATGTATCTCCCATCCACAGCACCCGGGTGGGCTTTGTAGTGAGGAGCGTGGCCGGCTCCTCAGGATGCCTCTGCAGCCGTGGCCACTGTCGTGCTGTTGGTGGTTTGTCCCAGGAGAGCAAGAGTTGGCCTTAGAACATGCCTGGAGAGGCCACAGGATGAGAGAAGAACACAGTTCACAGTTCTTGGGTTTGATTTTCTCCTCCCTGTACTGAGCTTTGTGCTCGGCTGTGTAGGTGCTGTGCCTAGTGTGGACCAGGGAAGGAGGGGCCTGACTGGATTCTGGCAGATCCCGAGGAAACACTGAGGAGATTTGGTCACTTTTTATTTGTTTTTCTGAAACTCCCAATGACCCAGAAATTAATGAATTTATCAGTGGTTTTTTTTCTTTTTTCCTGCCTTATTTTTCCCTGCCTGGGCTGTTATGTCTTAACCCAGCTGGTTGCTGTGCTGTGCCACATCCCAGCTCTCTGCTCCCCACACACTGGCATGCTCCTGGCAGTCGTGGCCCAAGTGGTGAAAAGCTTTATGAAAATTTGAAATACACTGGAGTCAGAACAGTGTTTGTGTGCATTTATGTTACTTTATAAATAAAAAAAAATCACATATATGTGTATGTTAAACATGGGAACTTTCATTCATTTAAATTAAGGTAGAATTTCCTATTAGTTTTACAGTTCCCTTAAGCAGAGGTAATCGTATGAAGACCTTTTTTTGAAGTTGCGATGTTCTTTACTGGTTTTGACAATGTGTCAAATACTGATATCAGAGCTGCAGAATATATAGGTTTCTCTCATCCTCCTGCTCTTCCTTCTTGTGGAGTTGGAGCTTGTGTGAGGAGGGAACCTGACAGGTAATAAAAGTGAAGATGACAGCTCTGCAAGTGAACTCTGAATTTATAGACTAAAATGTAAAGGTCTCTCACAAGCCAATGCCTATAGGGAAGCTGGAATTGGAGTAGCTTCTGAAAGATTAAGGAATTTAAGTACATGCTGCAAGCTCTAATTTAAAGAACATAGTCTTATCTTTAACACTTTAATGGAGAAGGATGGTCTTCGTAAAAGTTCAGTCCAAGCAAAGAGTGTTACTAGTACTTTGCTAGTTATGGGAGCTTGTAAATACTCCCTTCTCCCATCTCAGAGGAAAGGTGTGGTACTTAGTTATAATATTTTGTGGAAGCTGTCAAATATTTTAGGTTTACTTTTCAGTTTTTCCTACAAAGTACTCCATTATTTCACACTAAGTAGAAGCATTTCAGCTGTGTTTTGGGCATTGAGCATAAAGTGGAGAAGCTTTGAATGGAAGAGGGAAAAATTACTGCAGTGTAGGCTGACACTGAGGCGTGGAGGAACCGCAAAAATGTGGATGAAGTGGAAATGGGTGAATTAGCTAAAAATAGGTCTTGAGGTATGACAGCTAATAACACAAATCCAGCCCTAATATTTTTTGTGTAATCATAACAGTACCCACTTTGAGATTTTTGATGCTGTGCTTGTTGCTTTAACATTTTTAAATCACAGATTCTCCCTTTTAATGCTGTTAGGCAGGTCAGTGAACCCTCTGGCAGAGCATCCCTTTGTAGCCATTTTATCGATAGATCCCTTGGCTTCTGGGAAGACCTGGGACTGGCACGGTGCTGTCAGACGCCGAGGTCGGGACGTCGCTGGGTAAAGGGAGACACCCCACGAGCCCCAGCGCCGTGTCCTGTTTTTCTGCTTGACTTCGGCTTCATGGTTTGATATCACCAGTTCCTCTCAGTTCTGTTCAGACATGGCATTTGTTAATATGGTGCCAGAAGTTTGCAAAGAGGTGACGGAGAGCGAGAAAGCACCTTCGTTCACCCTCCAAACCTCCCTGCTTGATGCCAACAGTGGGCAGGTGGTGTTGTAACCCTGTCCCAGCTTTCCTGCTGTGGGCAGGAGATGAACATGACAGAGTGGGTGACTGTGGAGAGCCGTCGGTTTAAGATGTGGAGTTCCTTGGGTACTCGATCTGCCTGCGCTGAGGGACAGAGGCCTTGGCAAAGGGTCTGTCATCCTCTCCATGACCCTCTTTGTCCTCTCTGGGCAAGAGTTTGACTCTCGTTGTGTGCGTCCCTCTGTCCTCTGGTCATCCTTTGCTTCAGTGGTGGGAGAGGAGGAGCTGGGCTTGGAGCGTCACTGCATGTTTTTCAGAGGCCGATAGAGCAAATGGGCCCCAGCAAGGAGCACGGTGAAAGGACAAATGTAGGTGCAGGCAAGTAGTCGCAAGGACTGAGGCTGCCTCTTGAGTATGCTGCTGCTCTTATTAAAAAAAAAAAAAAAAAAAGAGGGGGTGTGGGTGGGCAGGGAGATTAGTTGGAGAAGACTCGGATATATTTATTCCACTGGAAAATAATTCTTTTGATCTTCAGGGAGGTGTGTGAATTTAGGAGAGAGAAGAAAGACAGGTAATTTCTAGTTTGTTTTTTTTTTTTTTTTGAAGCCGAGCCGCAGGCTTTTTTCCTCTTCCCCCTCCTCCCATTTTTTTCTTTATTAGCATCAGATATTTAATTTCTCTGAAACGCTGCAGTCTCAGTGCAGCCTAAAAGCATTCAGACAGAATAACATACACACCTGTCAGACCATGGGGCAAATGATAAGGGGATGCCAGTATATGAACCGTAGGAATTAGCTCTTTGATGGTTAGCTTTAGAGCTAATGGCACCTCACTCATGGTAGGAGACAGCCCTTGACTGCAAACAGGTTTGTAAGTTTCCACTTGTGTTGGCATATTCATCGCTTAATTTGATATATTTCTTTTTATCACATGGAAATGTAGCTGCTGACCTTTTTTCCCCTCATAATTTGAAACATGTAAACCATGCGCATCACAACGATAAAACTCTCTTTTTATTGAAATAGATGAAGTGCATTAATTCTTGATCAGACTTGTCTTCTGCATTTGAATTCAGCATGTCCTTTAAGCGTATGGGTCCAGAAGCAAATTCAGTGCTGCTTAAGCTGCCCTGACTTCACCCAGGGACGAGCGCAGCGCAGTCAGCTCGGAGAGGGTTGGGATAAATGGCTGAAGGCAATGACTGAAGCTAACCCAGCGAGACTTCCAAGAGATGTCTGATCATGGCTTTAGAAACACAGTGAATGCTGAATATAACTCCAGACCGGTGCTGATCTGTATCGTAACAAGCATGGATGCTCGTGGAGGACGGCACACATGTTTTGTGTCCTTACGTACCAGGGCTGCTACACCAGCCCTCTCGGAGCAGTTACACAAGGGGTTTTCTTCCATGTTTGCGGTGGAGGCACAACGGTTCGGCTGTTTGTTGACCTAGAGAGCACAGCCTCTAGGCCAGAGGGAGTCAAACGCTGCCAGTTGCTCTCAGCCCTGTGCTGGCTCAGATCTGTTACTGCCTCTTTCCTTCATCTTGCGGGCTGTCGCTGTGACCTTTCTTCTCATCCCCATATAAAGAATAATGCTTTATTAATATTTTGCTTCTTCCAGGGTCATCCCTTGCCGCTGCCCATACCTGGGGCTTCCATCTGTGTAAAATCAAGCTTAAGCTTTTAGCATGGGTGGTTTTCCACTTTTGTCTCTGAAACAACTGGTTCCATAGTTCCCATCTGTGTCTCCTGCCTGCCCTGGTTGCCAGTGACGCTATCCAGGCAACTGCGCTGCTTATGTAGGAAGAGCAAACGAATTGGTTCAGAGCGTATTGCGTGAGGGAAAAGCACACACCGTTTTGCACGAGCGTTTGTGTGGTCACTGCCGAAGCCGTCCGACAAGGAGCTGCAGTGTCAGGTTTGTCAGTTGTCGTGGGTCAGGATTCTGGGTGAGACTCTGACAGAAACACCTGCACCTCCTGTCGTGAGGGCTTCACATCTGGAGCCAGAGCTGAGGACATGCGTTTTAGCCTCCTAGGTTTCCAGATGTGGAGTTGTGTTGGTTGTTTTCTTTTTTTTTTAATGCTTTGAAACGTGAAGAAGCCATGAAACCCCATAGCATAGGTGAGCCAGTAACCATAGCGGAACTAGTTGTTGCACGTGGTTTGACTTTCTGCATGAAAGATTGTTAAGTTGCATTCCACCTGTGTTACTACCTCTGATGTTTGTGACTGGAGTTCAAAAATGTGATGGCAAATCAGTGTACAATAATCAACAGGGCTAATGTGCTGGTTTGCGTTTTGTTGTTGAGCATGTCAGGATCAGGTGCAAGAGCGAAAGAAATTTCTCAGTTGGTAAAATGTTTTCATTTCAGGATAATTCATAACTGACTTTGTTCAAGAACTCCTTTTGCTAATCTTGTTCTCTAAAGTAGATGCTTAAGGTGTATAGTAGTACCAGAAAACAAAGCATGTAATGGTGTTAACGACAATGTAGCTGTAGGGATAATCAGGTCAAACGAGTAAATGCTGCAGTCTTTCACACTCTATCAAGTTACAATTTTCAAGACTTGTTCCACTATTAGCTGCTGTGCATTTTGGGTTGGGAGAGATGGCTTACCAATTCACTTTCTTAAGCTGACAGTAAGAATTTATTAAAATGTTTTATTAAAAATGTTGGAGAAGTTTTTTATGAAGCTTTTTTTAATGGGCTCTTATTTGCCTCAAAATGGTGTTGATGCATCATTCAGTAAACCTTCAAACTTTCCAATATTAAATTATTTCAGTAAAGTGTATTTAAGATTTAAAAAGAAAAATAATTTAATTAATATTTTTACTTACCTGATTTTTGTGAGTTTATTAAGTGAATTCTTTGTGTTTTAATGTAGGCGTTTAGACGCCAACCACATCACTGCCATACCGGAAGACAGTTTTGAGGGTCTGGTGCAGCTGCGTCACCTTTGGTTGGATGATAACAGCTTGACAGAAGTTCCCATCTATCCACTGAGCAATCTCCCCTCTCTGCAGGCGTTGACGCTGGCTCTCAACAAAATAACGCACGTTCCTGACTATGCGTTTACAAACCTTTCAAGCCTTGTTGTTCTGTGAGTATGCACAGGTCACTGATTCTCTCCTCAGTTGCAGTTTTGATTCGTGTAGGATGACACCAAAGTGGTGTTTTGCTACATTTTAGCTTAGTTGTCCACTAACAGCCTGTACTGCCAACACAAGATACCACCATGCGTGCTACACAACCCACAGAAGGCTTGCTGAAAGCTTTCTCCGAAGCAGGAAGTCAGATGGGCTATGGGGAGTGAGATTGTTGTATAATTTCCTGACCTCTGATTTTATTAATGAATGTTTGAAGCCAGTAGTTGTCAGAGGAAGCTTTCAGAAATATTGAAAAAGCAAAATGTTAACTGCCACAGACCTATTTCTGTGTAGTCTTGAATATCTCCAAGGATGAATATGAAAAATTGGTTTGACTTACATTATCAGACTTCTGGGTAGTGAGTAGAGATTTCAGAGGTTGTTTTGACTATGGGCAATCTGTTCTGTTCCCGTATGAGAATGAAATATTTTTGTCTAGAATTGAAAGACTTTCTTCTGTGTAATCTGCCTCATGCAGTGTTTTTCCTAAACCATTTAACTGTCTTTGATTTCACAGAAGTATCTGCTACTTTTTTAACTTACATGAAATCGTTTGCTTGTTTTCATACTTCTTTTGGTTTTGCTTTTTAGACACCTTCATAATAACAAAATAAAAACTATAGGAAAACACTGTTTTGATGGGTTAGACAACCTTGAAACCTTGTAAGTATGCTTTTTAAAGTAATTTATTACAAATGAGAGTTTGTCTCGTTCCCAGCTTAATCAAGGTTACCTGTGTGGTGCACATTCTGCACATAAGGCGTGGGTGCGCTGCACAGCACATACCACCGACACACAGGCCCCGCACAGGTTTTGGAACTGAAGGCTGGTATCAGTGCAGTGCTCCACCAAAACTCATTAACTATGCTGAGAAGCAAGTAAATATTAGCCTGGGTGATGTGGTTCTAGTGTTCCTAACCCTGATGTAGCTGGTGTGTCTTTGCACAGCACTCCACTGAGTCAGGTGCATGTATCAGAAATGTTTGAGTGACCCTCTGGGTGATAAGGGGCAAATATTTGTTTCTCAGATTTACTGTAGGATTAAACATATTTAAGATAGACTGCCAAAACTGCTGTGTGATGATAGGAGGTTTCTCAGAGGGCCCTGACGGGCTGTTTCTCCACTGCTTCTCCCTTACAAGTTGGGCACCGCTGCCTGCCAAGGCCCTGCAGCTCCTGAGCTGATGCTCTGCAGGCTGGTAGGAAACAGCCCAGCTCCGTGTACAAGAGGTTCTCCTCAGTTCGAGTCCTGGCAAATATTAAAATGATGGACTTGTTTATCTGAAACAGTGAGCCTGGCGTTCCTTCAGACAGAAACGGGATGAGGGTGGGAAGCATCACCTTCCCCTCACCCCACGACTGTCGTCACCGCTGAGCTGACCGTTCTTACTCCCCCCAGAACTCCTTGCCCTAGGCAGTGCCTCGTGGTGGGGAGTGGCTCTCAGCCCTTTGGGATACGTTCCCCATTTCCCGTCAGCTTGTACAGTGGATATCTAAGATGCTGTATCTCCTTCAGCAGTGCATTTTGTGATGCCTTGGAGAATACTAAATAAATAAAACGAATGACAGAGCGCAAGGGCTACCTAGTGACAACCTCTGCTAACATAAGGAGTTCGGATGAGTCCAGGAGGGCTGCTTACTCCCAACTACCTTGTCATTCTCTTTGAACCTCAATTAAGTAATAATTAGATGCTATGTAAATATTTACAGCTGATGTAAGACTCTGAAAATGTTTTTACTGCTCATAAGGAGTCCACTTTTGCAGGAAAAAGGCTGTAGCGGGTCCTGACATTACTGCTAGGATGATGACAGGTTAATGGAGATTTCAGGAGATCCCATCATAAGGACTGATATGTACTGATTCAGTGTGATGAGATTTCCCTCTGCTTTTGTTCAGCGTATATAATGGGTTTTGCTTTAAGATCTGCTATTACTTAATGGCTTATTTACTGTTTGTTTTCTAAAACCTGAAAGAAAAGTTTTCTTAGTAAGCTAATAAAGAGTAATCATTTGTATCTACTGGGGTTTTTTTAAACTTTGAAATCTTAGTTAATTTCCCTGTAAATTCTGCTGAAGAAAAATCTGTGAAGTATTGAAGAGTACTGAGGTTTGCTGTAAGGACATGTTATTTGACTTAATAAGAATAATCCTGTGGATAATATTAAATATGTCACCTAAGCTATTAGCTGGTTATAAAGAATGCGAAACATCAGAAGACTGGATCTAAGTTAAAGTTATTCTATGGTCTAGTTAAAGATGTTCTGAGGACTTTTTACTTTCATTGAATTGCCTTTAAAACTATTTTGACAATTTTAGAGTTTTCCTGCTTTGTTTCTTCTAGGGATTTAAATTATAATAACATGGTAGAGTTCCCTGAAGCCATAAAAGCACTCCCAAGTCTAAAGGAATTGTGAGTATTACTTATTCTCCCTTTTTACCAGTTTTCTTTCTCCTTTCCATGAATAAAAAGAGAAAAGAAATTCCTGGATTTATGAATGCTTGTCTCATTATGCAGCAAGCTAAATCAGATTAAGTTATGCTAAGTGAAGCTATAATTAAAGGAAAATATAATCATCAGCTAGAGAGGGAACCTATTGAAAGTGATTTTGGAGTTATATAAGCAAGCAATTTATTCAGGAGAACCATTAGCATAGATCTTAATCATGAGCTGGTTTTGGCCTCCAGTAGCAGAACTAAGTATTCAGTGATCACACGTGTTTTCCTTGTTCCCTCCTTAAGAGAGGAGGAAGAAGAGAGAAAGCACAGGATCATGTTCTAGGCAGAGTATTTTATTTCTGATGAAATATTTTCAATTTAGCTGACGTGCAGTACACAGGAATCATGCCTTCAAAATTATTTCTGGAGTTTGACTTATTCCTTTTTAACTGCAATCCTGATTTTGGCAGGATTGAGAATTGAGTAGGTGTGAAGAAAACAACTATTGGTTGAATCTACTGGCACTATATTTTTAATGTTGATTTTCTTCTTTGCTAATATCTGTAGGGGATTTCACAGTAACTACATTTCCATAATTCCTGATGGTGCATTTGCAGGAAACCCCCTTCTAAGAACGATGTAAGTGATTTTCATACATCTATTTTTAGTCTTTAGCAGACAGCGACAGTAAGAACAGTGATTGAAACATGTTTTTCATTTCCCAGACATTTGTATGATAATCCTTTGTCTTTTGTGGGGAACTCAGCGTTTCAGAATCTGTCAGATCTCCACTCCCTGTAAGTATCCTCTCAACTATGTAGTACAGTAAATGGATATGAAATGTTGTGGCTAAGAACTCAGAATAACTTTATTTTCTGGCTGCCTCTTACCTTACAACCTTTTTGTTTCAGTAAGCTTTAATAAACATTGTTACTGTTGGAAATACCCAGTTTCTTAAGAAGCTCTAGGAAATATGCTCTGCAACGTGTTTTACTATTTTCTGTTAAAAATCTTGATTACTTTGCATACGACACGTAACCTTAGGCCAAATGCTTAGGTTGTTACTTAAACAAACTTCAGTGTGTCCTCGGTGTGTTTTGAACAGGGATGTACGTTGTGAGAATGTTTTGCAGGTTTCTGCATGCACGGTCTCAAAAGATACCGGTGCTGGGGGTGACGAGCAAGCGAAATGCAGTGAGACTTCAGACTTGGAACTACAACCTACCCATGGGTTTCTGCCCTTTTCATACATATATTGATTCGACTCTCCAGCTTGACAGATTCTAGGTGTTTGTGAACAGAGGAGTAATTTTTAAAGCAAATTAATAGTGTAGGGAGCGTTATTCCTGTGTAAAAGTTAAACAAAAGCAGTGAGAGTGTTAGAATGTCTCCATAGTGAAAATATCTGCCTGATAGCTGGATTGAATGTCACAATTCATTTGCATAATAATTTACAGGTAATTTTCTTTGGCATTTTTTTAGGGTCATTCGAGGTGCCAGCATGGTGCAGTGGTTTCCTAATTTGACAGGAACCATTAATTTGGAGAGCTTGTAAGTGTCGTCTACACAAATAATTTCTTGGGTTTGTATCTTGTGAAGTAATTAAATATGATTAGTGGACCTGGAGAGCAACTGGATGTATGTTCTTTTCCTGTCAATAGTATAATCATATAGCTTTCCTGATTGTGTTACCTAGGTACATCTTAATTATTATTAATTTTTCTTTAAATAGGGTAAGCTGACAACAGCTTATGAAAAGGCCATTGATACTAACCCTGCTTTTAACTGAAAAAATGAAAAACTGGCCTCTTTCAAAAAACTAAACAAACTCAAATTTTGGAGGGTGAATCTCACCTGAGAGCTGAGATGCCATCCTTATTCTGCTCTTAACATTTGCTTGCTGTGCCATCTACCATCAAGAATGCAAACTTTTATATATGTGTTGGGTTTTTTTCACAGAACTCTAACAGGGACCAAGATAAACAGTATTCCTGTTAACTTATGTCAAGAGCAAAAAGTGCTACGAAGTTTGTAAGTATACCCATTGTGCTCCTATTGTCATCTGCATCAAAATGTTTAAAAAGAAACTTAAATCCATCTTAAAGCAAAAGTATTGCTTAGAATTGCTCATTCTAGTAGTTCTCTCAAGAGTTGGAAGTCTGATGCTGATTTCTTGATTCTTCAACTCACAGCAGAGCTGATGTCGTGCCTTTTATTACTGAAACAGGGTCCCCTTTATAGGGATGCACTTTATTTCTTTCATATATTATTAAAGATATGTAAGGTGGTGCTGTAGAACAGTCTTTGCATGCTCAAATTCACTCTGTCACCATTCAGAATTCAGGAAATTTGTTCAGTATGGTTTTGAGGTATGTGTATGTTTAGAGGCAGACTGAAAGCAGTGAAACAGTATACATACATAGAAATAAAATACAGATTCAAAAGTAGTGTTTAAGAGAGATCTCATGAGCTGCTGAAGCAACTGCAAAGACATGGCCTCTTTCTCCATTACTTTTCAACTACAGAGCACTAGTTTCAGTTGTTAAAGCTGATCAAATAAAGAATTTTGGGATGATTCCTTTTATCCTTGCTTTATTTTACTCGTTGAATATTTCAGGAAATTAGAAAACCAGAATTGTTCACCGAATTCAGAGAGAAAAAGGGGGAGAGAGAAATCTAGCTTTTAAGAAGGTTACAGAAATAGTGAATGTAAGGCAATGAATCAACATTTTATGGAGGTATATAGGCAGCCTTTCTTCTGCTGTGACACAGCAGTTACGTCTTACTGCCTCTTTGGGGGTGTGTGTGTATAATCAACGTGCATAGTGGGGCTGGTTAGGGTGACTGTGGAGAGATGACACTTGTGATTCCCTGCATGATTTTCTCTAAACTGCCCTTAGTTTTTTCCACAGATTGTTACCAACAGGAATATTTTTCTATCAATCCATTTAATGGTTGCAAGTGATGAGATATTTCAAGTAGAAAAGAGTTGAACTAAGCACCTTTCTCCCATTTTCTGTTTTAAAGGGACTTGTCTTATAACAGTATAAAGGACCTCCCAAGTTTTAAAGGCTGCCACTCCTTGGAAGAAATGTAAGTAGAAATACGTACTGTTTATCTTTTATTGCCTCCTTAGTATGCTGAGTCCAGGTCTTTAGAAACTTTTTTGCTTCATGTTCGATCATAAATTTCTCAGCCTAAGAATGGAAAGAGGTAATGTGACCAGCTTATGTGAGGAGTGTGTTTGACAGAGAATTCAACCACTTGTGTTTTCCTCAGTTACTTAAGGTTAAATTGTGTCTATGGCACAAGAAAGATGAATCACAAAAAAGATGATGGACACCTAAATCCTGCATTTCCCAATAGTATGCATAAACAGAGCGAGCATTTATGTGCTTTCCTTCCTGCCTCTTCTGCTCTTCTTCAGCTCCCTCCAACCATCAGCCTATGCCTCTGTAAAATGTTTTATCCTCTAGTCCCTATAAGACATATTCAAAACCCATCTTTACTTTCCCTTACATTGCTTTAAAGTTTCTTAAGCTTCATTTTGACACCCTACACAATTTTTTTCACCTGCATGTGTTCCTTCTGCTTCTACTTGTAGTGCACTCAAGCTTAACCAGAGTTACCACTTGCTGTTACACTCTTGACATCTTTGGGCTCGTTGCACACATGGTTCATTTTAAAGGGAGCTAGTGAACTGAAATCATAATTTGCCCATTAGCTCTTGAGGCATTTCTTAACATTTTCCTTTTATAAATCTGTATTGTGAGAAGTGAAAGTGTACCCAGGGTTAGAATGTTCATAAAGATTCCTTGCAGAATGAAGCAGATTTGGTTTACATCTCAGTGTGACTCTTCAAAGTTGATGTTGTTTTTATCTTGGAAATAATTCACTCTACACTTAACAGTCCCTTCTAAATTAAATGAGTTGTCAGTTGGGGTTGGGCAGAGGTGCCATGAAAGAGCTTTATGGTTGTGTTAATATGGCTAATGTGAAACACTTAAACAGCACAAGGGAAAATGAGAAAAATCTTGCCCTTGGTAAGGCTAAATCTGTGTATTAGCAGGCACCAAGCTATCCCTTGGTTTGAAGTCAGACCAGTTAGCCAATAAAGTTCTTTCTACTTCACTTTGCAGTTCCTTACAGCATAATCAAATCCAAGAAATCACAGAGGAAACCTTTCAAGGACTGACCTCCCTTCGTATCCTGTAAGTGCACACAGCTGCATATAGGGTAAAACACACTAATGATTTCGATCCCATGTAAACCGATGTCGGGGTTTGGTGCCACAAATCTGATGGCAAAAGGCCAGGTGTGAAGCAAACCATGTCCAAGAGGTACTAGGAGCAGTGAGTTTCAGTCCCGTTCCTTCTGTTCTCCATTTTTTTTTAAGGTGTCACAGGTTAGGACTGGGCCGGCCACTAAGTGCTGACAGACCCCCTCTCCCTCCCCAAATGGGAAAGAAAAAAAAAAAGAAAAGAGGCAGAGAGACTTATGGGTTGGAAAAAGAAACTTAAAACAGCTTTAATGAATAAGGAAATAATAAAAATAGTGAACTATATACATATATACAAATCTGCTACTGAACCCGACTCCCCCTCCCCGATATCAATCCCCACGGGTGCTGCAGAGCAGGCGGCACCGGGGAGCTCCCAGGCTCAGCGGCAGCGGGGAGCTGGGTACGGGAGCTGGATTCAGGAACTCGGGATCACAATCAAAGGCAGAAGATTGGACTAAGTCCTCCCTGGACATGGTCCATTGCAGAAGAGGAGAGGAAGAGGGAGAAGACCTAAACCCTGGGGATCCCTCAGTTTTATACTGAATATGATGTATGTGGAATGGAATACTTTTGTTGGTCACTTGTCCTGTCTGTAACTCCCAGGAGGTGCAGCCTTTTACTTCCTTGTGACCCCCCTTTACTACCCGGCACCCCCAGCGTGGCACACAAGAGCCAGCAGTGGCCTTGGTCACTATAGGAATGAGTATCAGCAAGAGCCTGTCTGCACACCAGTCCCAGGCAGTAGCTGTAAACATCAGGTGTTTTCACTGCTGGTAGCAGGCACTGTCTGCAAAAACATGCTGCTGACTTCAGAAAGTGCAGCCTTTAAGAAGAGACTGAGCTGAGAAGCAAAAATCACTGAACAGAGTTGGTTCTGTTTAGTTCAAACCAAGACATTCCACCCCATATTCCATTCCATATATGTCATTTTTCTGGTACTTCACTACTTTAGGTTATATTATTACTATATTATTGAATTATATAGTATTTATTGGAGAGATCTTACCTGTTTTCTTCAGGAGTGGACCAGTAAACAAGATTATCCCCTCCCCTTATATCTGTGAAGGTTATATAGGAACACTGACATTATCAGGGAAAAAAAAACATCCACAAATTGACAGGTGTTTCAGAAGGAATGCCATAATATAAGTCATAGTGGTCCTGCGAGAGCTGGATCTGGATTTTGAAATCTTAGTGAAGCAGGTGCCCTTGTCACCAAAGGGATCATCCTGACACCTTCAGCCTAAGCATGGACGGTGCCAGGGCCAGCCTCTGCCTTGGGAGCACAGGCTGAGCTGCCAGCAGCAGAAAGGAAGGGAAAGGGGGCAGGAATGGGAGATAGGTTCTCCTCTGGACCTGAGGCAAAGGAGGGCACAGCTTCCTGACCAAGGGATTTGGCTGCTGCTGCACCTGGCTGACTGGGGAGAGAGGGGAAATGGGAGCATTGTTCAGCTTTTCTGACAAAGGCGTAATGTCTTGGTCGCCTTAGCTTTTTTCTCAGTACAGTGGCTGTTACAAAGTGTTGATGAAGCTGCTAAAATAATCTCATTTGGCCTTCATTGCAGTGACCTCAGTAGAAACCAGATCCATCAGATCCACAAGGAAGCTTTCACCACTGTTGGAGCTATTGTCAACCTGTAAGTAGGCTGTTCTGTGCAGCAACCTCATCTCTCTGTCATTAAACTGCCGAGATGTCAATTTTAAGCTAAAAGTATTTACTGTGTGCCCGTTGTGTGTTTCGTCTCTGTGAATCACAAAACCTCTTGCTAGCAGAACACACACAGGGCACACTTTAAAGTGCCTGCTGCACTGGCAGGCATTTGCCAGAGCACAGCCTTGGTATGAGACTTTAAAAAGCCTTCCTACTTCCGTGGAATGTGTGCTATAGGATCTTCAAACTTACTTTGTTGTAACAATGTCTTAATATTCATATTTCAGAGACCTAAGTTTTAATGAACTCACTTCAGTTCCATCTGAAGGGTTGAGTGGACTGAACCAGCTTAAACTTGCAGGGAATTCTGAGCTGAAAGAAGCGTTGGCAGCCAAGAACTTTGCAAAGCTCCGGTACGTTGCTAAATAGCACCAGAGTGTGCCTTGCTTATTTTGATAGTTGCAAGCAATGCGACAATACGTGAAGCAGTTCCGATAATGCTCCTGACAAACGATCAGACCCTTTGCTGAGTGCCTTCGCGTTGGCACATATGAAAGGGCATCTGACTATTTTGGCGTAGAAGCCATCTGCAGACAATTTTCTTGGAACTTTTTATGTTTTTCCTGCCCCACTTTTCAGGCAGGTATCGTTGTGGAGTAGTGCTTTGGGCAGATTCCATTTGTTATTGCACTGAGTACATACATCTTGCAGAGTGTGGAAAATGGGAGCAGACAGCAAGTGTCTTATTCCGTAATCACTGCGCTTTATACGTACGCTGCTTGTTCTTGGAGGCCAATGATAAAAGTAGCAGTAATCATTCAAATGGAGACCTGGGGCTGATTTCAGTGGGAGGTGAATCAGAGAGTGATTAACTGCTGTGCATTTTCAAAGATCTTTCTGCACATTAAGAAGCAGCGGTTAAAAATTGTTTCCCATACTGTCCAAGGGAAAAAATGCAGATGAAGATACTGTTGGTTTGTTGAAGGTCAGCAAAGGAATCCGTGTCACTTAGAATTGAGCCTCAGCAGTCCTGTGGAAACAGGGGATTGGCTTTCAGGTTTTGATCTGTGTGTGAGAACTAATGCACTGTGGGATCTTTTAGACTGATGTTCCTTCTAAATATTTACAAGGACACAATTCAGGAACAATACTGCATATAGTCAGTACTGTAGCCTTGAGTCAGAAAAATGAGCTTCTGGTCTGCTATTATCTCGTTGTTTATGTGGACGTTTTAGAACTCTGTATGCAGCTCTACTTCTCTACCAGTATGTACTGTTTTTGTCAAATACACCAAAAAAAAAAGGAAAAAAACCCCAAAATATTATTTTGGGGGCTGCAAAATAAAGAATGAGAAGGAAAGATGTAATTTTTTAACATTGCAGTCATCTAGGAATTTACTCTCTTACAAAACAGTTACTCCTTAATTAACTTGCTTAATTAGTTTTCAGTTTAATTTGCACAGCAATGGCACGAACACTGATCAGAATTTGGTTTGTATATGGAGCAGAATGGGTAGTAAAGAGAGTTAAGCATCACAGAATTTTCTTTGTACTCCTTGCAGCAGACAAGACTTGCATCGCGTATCGTTTTTCTCAGTGCAAAAGTTCAGAAATGGTTACAAATCACGCAGTTTGACATAGTTTTTTGTTAGCCTCCAGGACAAAAAGGAATTTCAGTTTTAGCGTTGAAGTGTGCCACTTAAATATTTTTGATAGATGGTGATCTTAACTTTGGTTACACTGGGTAACACTTTTCGTTGTGCCTGTATTTCAGGTCGCTCTCTGTACCGTATGCTTATCAGTGCTGCTCATTTTGGGGTTGTGATTCTTTCTTAAACTCTAATGCAGAAGATTCTGGTCATCAAGATCAAGGTGCCTTGATGGAACGTGAGAAGGGTAAGTGTTTCATTTTAATGAAGCAGCAGTAGTATTTTGAGTCAGACTAGACCGAATAATGGTGTATGTTGTGTGTAAGATTTGCCTATTATTTAAAAACATAAAGCAAACAAAAACACCACTTTAAAAAAATCTAAACTGCCCATATTGTTTCTCTCCTTTTATGGCAGAGCATGAAATGTTTATGGTTCTTGGTATTTCTCCCATACTGTTTAGAAAGGATTTGTCCTTCCGCTCTCTACTTTGAGGCCCATAGATCTTTCCCTGTGATGAAAGATGTTGTTGCTTTGTTATAAAGCCTTGTGAGGAGCTGGGACAGGCAGTAGTGAACTCAAACTGCTGCAGCAATTTCTGCACTGAGCGTTCGACCTTCTGTGACAAACCAGACCAGCTCCCCTTGTTAAAGGCTTGAACACTGGTGAAGTGTTAGGTCTTTGATCTTTCGGAGGACTAGTTCCATCCTAGGCAGCTTCACTGCATTTCACTTTTTTTTTTTTCTTCCTCCAACTAACCTGCTTTTCATTCTTACTTGGATACAGCTGATGCAGATGCTCTAAGAAATGAGGAGAACGAGGAACTGGGACAGACTATTATTCACTGTACACCAGCAACAGGTAAATCTTATAATGTGCTTGAGCCACAGTGTGAACTTCAGACACGGTGTTATGCAAATAGCCGTCTGCAGAATTACATGGTTCATTCCTCATAGTCATTCCGTACACAGAAGATTAAATTCTACAATGCTTGGGTGAAACTTTATTTGATGCCAATGTTGTTTTGGATGAGCCATCACAAAGATTTGGCTCAGCTTTAGATGTAACGAACTATGTTATGAAAAAACCCAGAAGTTTGTTTCCATAAGCAGAACAACCAAGACTGCAATACTTAGATTTGGAGCCTGCTGTGTTTAGTGCACTACATCCTAATTTTGCATTGCTATTGCCAAAGAGATATCTGTGGAGCTGACTGTATGGATGTTGAACCCTTTCAGGGAGAAGTCAGCCTGTGCTTTAAAAGCTTAACTCCAACTGCTGTCATCAGTGGCTTTAACTAAGCTCGATGCCTTTGCAGGAGAGAGGATGAGGGAGGCTCACGTGATCTGTTCCCCAGCCCTGCTATAACCACGCTAACCAGCACTGGGGGCTGTTCCAAGTAGCTGGACGAGGCAGCAGCATCTTAAACTGCTGCAGATATTTGTGCAATGTAAAGCCTTGTTGGCGGACCAGAACTGCCTTAATTCAGGCTTGAACAGTCCAGGAGTGCTGAAAGTCTTTGATCTTGCCAATGAGTATCTTCATTCTAGGCAGCTGCCTTTCCTTGCTGCCTTACTGTGTACCTTCCTCGAACTGCAAACTTCCACACGCGGTTCCACTCAGCTCCTCAAGTGCTTGCCTGTGGTGCCTCCTACTTTCTTGCCTTTGCCACGGGCTCTCCAGAGGATTCCTTCTATATATCTTGTACCCTCCTGTTTGCATAAGCAGGAACACAGAGCTGGGAGGGAACAGTATGTTTTCAGTGAAGTTACTTCTGGGTGAGCAAGGGTTTTCCAAGTCTTCTTTCATTCTCTTCTCCTAAGCTAGTATTTTACATCCCTTATGAAAACCTGTTCATCTTTTGGGCTAGCTTCAGCTTTAGTATACAGAATATCACAAGGATTTCCTGATCACAGCCAAAAAAATCTGTGGTCAGAAAGTCAAATTATTAATGTAACTGTACATGATCTGAAAAGTAATTTGAGTCAGAGCTGCTTATTTGCTTTTGATCTCCTGTTCACAGAATGAGACTTCAGATGGTGTGTTACATGGGTTAAATCTTTAAAGCCTTTAGCTCTCTGTTTTTGCCCATGCCAGAGAAGTTGTAGCTCTAAAAGGAGTGAAGAGCTTGTTTTACAAGTTCAAAATTTGCCTTGTTTTTCACCAGTCCCTCCCATACTAACAACTTGTTTTCTGTGCCATGCTGTCACCTGGTCCTAAGTAGGACACTCCACCCACCATGTAAGTTCTGAATCACTGCTCATCTTGTAGATCCGCTTTCCGCTTTGCCTAATGACAGGAATGGATTGCTGACCAGGGGCACTACAGTAGTGTAGCACTGAAAACCAGGAAACTCATCCTTCCGAGCATGGATTTCCCCCAGTGGGCTGGCAATATTACGGAGAGAGGAGGATAACTTTGAACTCCAAGGAGAGTCAGAGCTCTGGAGAGAGATAGGAAAGTGATGGGGTTTGTTTATCTGAGGATACCTCGCTGTACAGCTACTAGAAAACAGACTTCAAGTTAATTTTGGAAGCACATTTTGAAATTTCCAAAGTAGGAAATTGTTTTCATTTTTAAGTAGACTCAGCTTGGCAGATATTGTTGCGTCATGTGAATGTACTGTAAAAATAATTATGTTGGCAAGGATGTCTTACTCAGGAATACCTGCAGAAAAAAAAATAGGAATTTTACTGCTGATTTTACTGGTCTGATAATCCAGTTAGCACCATTATTTCTTGCGCAGAAGTGAAGCTTGCTCGTTTAAACAAACAAAAAGATTCTTTATCAGCTTGTCAGTTCAGTAATTTCTGGAAGTTGTTTTAGGCCTTGGGAGATTTTTGCCCTGACATTTAGTCATTCTCCGCAGTCGCTGTTCCAGCCCGCAGCGGGGCTGGGTTGTGCTCACCTTTCTCCTGCCTGAAGGGAGAAGGGCACGGGCTGCGTGGAGCCGGGAGACTTGGGCTGAGTCCATGGGCTGAATCCAGCTCAGAAGCTCCGGCCCAAGGTGGCAGCACAAGTTGGTGTTTTTCTGCTCTGTCCTCGGCTCCCCGACTGCAGGGAGAGGTCCCCAGCTATTGTGCTTCGGACAGTTAGCGGGGCCTGATGGGGATGTAGGAGAGGTTAAACTCTTTTAATTGTTACTTTAAATTGGTAGGATTTTGCTATGGAATAAATAGCAATTAGAAGGATTACAAGGGTAAGTGGGAGTAACGACCTTTTTTCCTTGTCTCACCTCATACTATTTTACTTGTTAGACATTACTCAAGCTTTTTTAAGTGACGAAAGAAGAGGAAGAAAAAATAATTTTCCACATATGACTTTCTAAGCTCACAGTGCCTTTCACGGGGAGAGGGCTTGTGGTGAATTCCTGTCCCTATTAAAGCTGATTAAATTGAATTTGTGGGCTGTTTTACAGATGTTTCCTTGTGACCAAAAGTTACTCCAGAAAGCGTGTTCGTGAATCGTTTTTTGAGACAACATGTTAGTTCTAAAAAATTCTTTCCCCTTACAAGTCAGTTGTGAACATTTTATTTTGTAACCAACTTTTTCATGAAGTATGAAATCTAAAGGAAAAATAAAGTATTTAGGTGGCACTAATAAAAGCTATTTTGAGTAGCTAGAAGGTAATTAAGTTTATTTAGCTAGCTTGTTTATACAAAGTATTCTCAAGTGACCATTCATTGCAGTAATTATTATTTCAGGCATAATTAATTAGTAAATAGCTTCAGCAGAATAATTTGCTTTCAGCTGACCTACTTAGCAGTTCAGCTGTGTACTCTATTCATGAATTAATGAGGAGTGCTCTTGTAACACCTTTTGAAAATCTTGCTTATTAAGGCACAATTTTTTTTCCTAAATCAGTTTGACCTTCTGTTTGTTTTCTGTTATTTTTTTTTTCTTTTTCTAGGTGCTTTTAAGCCTTGTGAATATTTATTGGGCAGCTGGATGATTCGACTTACTGTCTGGTTTATTTTTTTAGTTGCTTTGTTCTTCAACCTGCTTGTCATGTTAACAGTATTTGCATCCTGTACTCCATTGCCGTCTTCCAAACTGTTCGTAGGCCTGATTTCTGTCTCTAACTTATTTATGGGAGTCTATACTGGCATTTTAACTTTCTTGGATGCTGTTTCTTGGGGAAGATTTGCTGAATTTGGCATATGGTGGGAGACTGGCAGTGGTTGCAGAGTTGCTGGGTTTCTTGCAATCTTTTCATCAGAAAGTGCCATTTTTTTCCTGATGTTGGCAGCTGTTGAACGGAGCTTCTCAGCAAAGGAGATCATTAAAAAGGGGAAAAGCAATCGCCAAAAACAATTTCAAATCGCGGCAGTTTTTGCTTTCCTGTGCGCTGTGGTAGCGGGATGCTTACCACTGCTGTATAAAGCGGAGTACTCGGCCTCACCCCTCTGCTTGCCCTTCCCCACCGGAGAAACCCCTCCGTTAGGTTTCACAGTAACTTTAGTACTCCTGAATTCATTAGCATTTTTGCTAATGGCTGTTATCTACACTAAACTGTACTGCAACTTGGAAAAAGAGGACCTCTCCGAAAACTCGCAGTCCAGCATGATTAAGCATGTCGCTTGGCTCATCTTCACGAACTGCATCTTTTTCTGCCCTGTTGCGTTTTTCTCATTCGCACCATTGATCACTGCGATTTCTATCAGCCCTGAAATCATGAAGTCTGTTACTTTGATATTTTTCCCATTACCTGCTTGCCTGAATCCAGTCCTGTACGTATTCTTCAACCCAAAATTCAAGGAAGACTGGAAGTTGCTCAGGCGCCACCTGACCAGGAAGAACGGAGCGGTAGCGATTGCCGTCAACGCCCAAGGGGGCTGCGTGCCGCAGGACTTTTACTACGACTGCGGCATGTACACCCATCTGCAGGGTAACATCGCCATGTGTGAATGCTGCGAATCGCTCCTTTTATCCAAACCCGTGCCCTGTAAACATTTGATAAAATCCCACAGCTGCCCCACGCTGGCAGTGGTGCCTTGCCAAAGGCCGGATGGCTACTGGTCGGACTGCGGCACCCAGTCTGCCCACTCCGACTACGCCGACGAGGACGACTCCTTCGTGTCGGACAGCTCCGACCAAGTGCAGGCCTGCGGCCGCGCCTGCTTCTACCAAAGCCGAGGGTTCCCTTTGGTTCGTTACGCCTACAACATACCAAGAATTAAAGACTGAAAAGGCTTTTTTTGCCATCAGCCGTTCTAATGAGGCGGTATAACGCTTCACAGACCGTTGCCTGGTTCTGACCTTTTGAGCAGGAAGCACTTTTGTAGTCGTCGCTCAGTGTCGTTTGTAAAGAAGGGAAGCGGACTTCTTGTAAGTAACTTCTTGAGCCATACATTTAGAAAATAATTAAATGAATAAATTGATTGCCCTGACTGTAAATAATTGGTAAACCAAATTTGTTACTCAATATTTTTACTCTTTCCACACAATAGTGGTTTCTTTTATACAATTTTTTACATGTTAATGGTGTGTTTCCACATTGTACTCCAGTTGTACTTTGCTTCTGCTATTGGCGAGGTAAGTTCTGTTAATTTTTTTTTTCTGCCAAAGCACAATATAAAGGACAGCTGTTTAATATTAAAGAAATTATTTTTAAATGTGACTTTTCTATAATTAAGCAAAAAACTCTCTTGCTAGCTTTGTATAGCATATTCAGCATTGAAACTCAGGATGAATTTTACTGCAGGGCCAAAAAAGGGATTAATTCTCTCATGTATAACTGTGACAGCAATATAGGAATACCATGTTTGTTTGTATTTCAAGCCAACGTTCAATTTTTAAAGAAGATTTTGTTAAAATAAAGCACAGTATCTGTAGATGATGAAATAAGGATGTTAACAGCTGTCAGGAATAAGAGAGTTGAACACATTTTTCCAGTGATGATGCATTACTTCAGGTGAACCACAGCAGCTTTGTTCAGTATTACGCAGCCGGGTCACACTGCTGGAAGGAATGTCGATGCATCACGGGGGGCGCTGGCAGCGCTGTCCACGGGCACAGCTCACGTCTTTGCAGAAAGACTGGCTAATGCTCTGCCGCCTGTTGAATGTTACAGCTCCCCAGGAACACCCGTGAATAGACTGCGACTTTAGCAAATAGAGGGAAAAGAGAAACAGTTTTGCAATAAAGAAAAGCATTTTTCCAATAGTTTTACTGAGAGTGAAGTACACTGTGCAAAGTCACCCATTTTCATTTAAATTGGTGCGATGTTTTTAAACCATTCAAGTCCTGAGACCCAAATGATTTAAGTACAATCGGTGATCCACGTATTGGTACGTAGTTTGAAATCCAATCGATAGCAAGTTATGAATGCATGATTAAATAATTATGTTTCTTGAACAATATGCTAAATCAAGAGCAAATCCACTGCCATCTCAGTTACTCTGGAGACATTTTCATTAAGATTTAAAATTAGATTGCTGTTTTGAGAATTAAACTGTATATACTGTTCATACAATGAATTTTTATCTTTGTATTGTAAATTATTTGATAGAACACATGATGGGAAATGTGGCTTCAGTTCATTTTGTTAATTAAAGCTACCTCCTAAACAATAGTGGCTGCCAGTAGCAGAATGTTTAAAATGTGGTTTATATACTTTTTGCATTGTAAATAGACATGGTTGTATATTGTCACTGTAATAAAAACAGAATCCTTGTATATCAAAATCATGTAGTTTGTAAAATTATGGGAGGATTATTTACTGTATGCTGTTAATTTTGTAAGCCAAAATATTCACATGTAAAACCAGAAGAAAACCAATCCAGACTTGTTAATTCTTATATTTACACTCATGAATATTGCATCTGCAATTAGCGTGGAATGTTACACTGAAAGCAAATAAAGGGTACATGACTATTGATTGTTATTTATCTCCATTTTTCAAAACATAAGGCTGAAAATGGTGCATGTGTAGAATTACTGAGCATAAATAATGGCCCATCTGCTCTCCACTACGTGGTGAGAGTTGCAGGAAAGAACTGCCAACAGAGCAAGAAAGTTGCCAATTTCTAAGTGGATTTACAATTTCGAGACTAATGCTGACCTTGGCATGTAAAAGATTAAACCCTTCAGAGTGTTTGCCCTTTTACAAAGTGATCTCTTTAAATAAAGACTTTATTATGTATTTGAGTTGAAATGTTGATGATTTAGGTTTTGATACTCTTTCCGTGCTGAGAGTTGCGGGGTTTTATAGCCATAGTTTTCTAAGCGTCCCAATCTGTTCCACACTTCCTCTGTTGGTCAGCCCGTCACAGGCAATGGGAATTCTTCTAACTAGAATACTTCTTAAAAAGGACAATAAATGTCAGATGCCATTTCATAATCAGTAGAGAAAGAAATCCAACTAAACTTCAACCAATGTTCTCAAATATGGATTTATTTCTTCTATTTTACAAATGAGTCATCACTGAAATGCTATTAAAACGGTCAGATGAGATCCCTTTTGAGTTACAGTGTTTCATTTATACATCAGTATGGTTTTGAAGTTACAGATACACTAACAGTTAATTTTAATGCAGTTGTCCGAGTGTTTTCCAATGCATGCAGGCTGGTACAAGTGAATGAATGCAGGCAGCAGCTACTAAAATCAACCCATCAAGAAGCTGCAAGACCTGTCTTGGCATCCCCGTGTGCCCAACGCCTACGGGTGACCGGTCACATGAGGAGAACCCAGAGAAATCCAGGTGCCAGGTGCGTAACACCTCCTTTGTCATGTCTCTGGTGGACAAGCTGACCTCGGGAGCAGGGCGCGGTGTTTGGGTGTTCACAGCTCTAACAGGAAAGCCATCCGCTGAGACCTTGCTCCTTCCTCCCCACTCCCAAAGCGGTATCAGATACGTGGGGACAGCTTGCCTTAAAGCTGTGCCATGTCAGTGAGGCATGAGGTTTTTTGGTTACCTCTGCACAAGTGGTTTTCGGAGCTGTCACCCAGGCAGCCATCTCCTCAGCCAGGCAAAGCTTCCTAATTTCAGTTTTGATACTCAAGCAACTGAAACTTCACAAGGTGCACTCTCCTGGGGTGTCTGCAGAAAATAAATCCTCTGATTTCCTAGGGTCTAAAGCTAGCTGAAACAGTTCTGACAGTGACAACGTCACATACCAGGCTTCTGAACCCCTCTAAATAACTGTCGTACTGAGCTCCAGCGCTGGATTTAGCAGACAAAAATAATTTGCTGTTTACTTTAAATAAAGTTGCAGCAAGGAGAACACTTGTTTGCTTGTTTTCCTTCCTGATCTTCTGCTGTTGTGAGGGAGCAGCTTTCTGCCTGGGACAGTCACAAATAAAACTGCTGAAGTTGTTGCTATGATGTGCCCTCCTTTTCCCCCAGTAAGATGAGCTTTTTTCAGACAGCAGTTGTGGTGCTCTGTGGCAGTATGCTGGAGAGATCGCTTCATTTGAAATGGACTCTTTTTATTCTCTTACAAAAATAGTGTGTCTACATAGTCAAGTCTTTGGTCTAGATCCCTTTTGCCCTTTTTAATTTCTTTCCAGTAGAATTTCCTATGTCTAATCAAAAATTTACTCAGAAGTTTCAAAGTTATGTAAAGATGCTTTTCTCCAGTAATTCTTTTGACCTTGATTACTATTTTTAAGCCTTCAGTTTTAATTTACAGGGTAATATTTTTAATTAAAAGCACAATGCAGAGTTCATTTCATGTGCACTCTCAAGCTAATAATTTTTAATTACATAGATGCTTTTGATCTTTTACTGCTAGCATAATAAGTTTATTTTTAGCAAGAGATTTTTTTAATATTACCTTTCACATATCGTTGAATCTGACCGATTTAGCACTAGAGTTCAGTTGAAGATAATTCAGTAAATAAGAAAATTAATTAAATCTGAAATGGGATAATATATAACAAATTACTATTTTCGTTACTGTTGTATATTGTAGGAGCTTGGAGGGTGAATGGACACATGTCCTATGTTGCATTCATGACACTACACTACTATAAAATACCATTTGGGTTTTACCTAAGGAATACTAGTTAATTAATTAGATTTGAGGGTAACAAAATATGAAGTGTCTCACTGGTTTCCAGTAATAAAAAGCATAATCTGTGTCTTGAAAATTTCGGGCCCTAAATGAGCAAGTAAATCTGTTACGCTTTAAACGAGATAAAGACTTTGTGCAGAAGTGTAAACTAGCTGAAGAACTGAAGGAGGGCTGTGATCTCGAGCTAACGTGGAAGAACTGAGTTTGAGTGGGGATCCTCGAACTGATTCAAAAAGATGAGATTTTAATATAAATGGGTTTCATGGAGTTTTTGCCCATTTCCCAAAGTGAGAGAAGTTCTCATCTCAAGGCCACGCTCTTTGAAAGCAGATGGCTCTGAATCCACAATCAAGAACCCAGCCTGGGACCAGCAGTGTGTTCACTGGTTTGCAAAGATGAGCCTCTCAACAAGCACAACTACAAACGCAGGCACAAAAAGTAGCCGGTAGACAAGTACAGGCAGCGCTCGCCCAGCTCTGGCACTGAGCGTGGAGCCAAGTAGCTGTTTTCCTCGCTCCTGCGCCTGCTGCACCATTTTTCCCCCCAATGGAAAGGCTGAAGACTTGGGAAAACTTAAATTTGACTATATTTAGTTCAATATTTTTTTTGCTTTTCCACACTGCAAGTAAAATTAAGGTATAAATTCTTCAACCTTAAGGCATGTTGTCTAAGCCTTGGTCAGTGCCTAAATTTAGTACAGTTTTTTTCAGCAAATTATTTTTATGTTTTTTTCTGTTCCTGTATGGAAGTGTGGAAGTAGACACTAGATTTAAAAGCAATCTTGTCTGATTTTTACATTAAACCTGGCTTAGTATTAAGTTGAACTGAGAGCTTTCCTTCTGATGGCTCTTGTTTTTGAAGACTGAGCTGATCAGATTGCCATTGTATACTAAAATCTAGCTATTTTGTAAAGAAAGAGGGTAGTTAGTGTTTTATGCCTAGAATTTACTTCATTTCTATTTTTGTTACCTGTAAAATTGCTTTCTTGTAATAATTTTCTCTGTAAAATGTTTTTTCAAATACTATAGGTGCCAATTAGGGATTGGTGAGCAGTTTCTCAGGAGCATTTGGGTATTCAGACACACTGACTGCCATGACTAAACAGACACAAAATAGAGGCCTGTGAATATATCAGTGCATTTACTCTGAATTTCACTCCCTGTTGCTACAGAGCTCCAAGTACTTACTCCATAGTCCACGATGGTGTTGGTTTACTTGG